TGAAGTAAAAAAAAAACAAAAAATAGAACAATATGGTAAAAATAAAAAGTGATTGAAAAAATGATATAAATGTTTATAATATTCAATTATTATTTACCTCCTCTGCTGTATGTTAAGTCGATTGCTGCACCTGCTCTAAGCTAGTTTCTGAATTTCGAATTTTGCAAGTGAATTTATAATAATTCTTCAACAAGTTCTAATTTTATTTTTGGGACATTAAGAAATATTAGGAATTTTTTTAAACAATTTTAATAACGATGGATATAAGCCATGCTGGTTTACTCGCCGGGTTTATATATTAGATTTAAAAAAACGCCATAAAAGGTTAAGGAATGTTTGACGAGATCAAATCTATTAAAAAATGTTTTCTCAGGATGAAAAAAAAAAAATCTTTATTTCCCTTTAATTTGTGAATTTTTTTTAACGACACCTTTAATTCTGAATTGTTGTATTTTGATTTTTATTTCTCATTTTATAACATTTAAATATCAAATATCCAAATAAGGTCGATATCACTAAACTCGCGACAACAATAAATATAATCCATATCGTGGTTAACTTTACTTTGCCTTTCATATCATCTATTGATTCGAAGAATTTAATTAGATAAAGGAAGATTATTATTTACAAATCACGAGATCTTTTTTTTTTTACCTTTCTTTACGAGTTCCATATTATACCATGTATATTGTGATAAATCACTTGTATCTAACATGAATGCTTTTTGATTAAATGTTGATGTTCCTGTAATAGTTATATTATAACCTAAGGTTTGATTTTTTTTTTTTTTTTTTTTTAAAAAAAAATTGTTAATTTTTATTTTTAATTGTTTTTTAAAATCAAATTTTTTTTTTTTTTATTTACCAAAGTATAAAACCATGAACGTATCATTGACCATGACTGTTGTATGTTGAATTATTTGACCAATTGGATTTATAATTTGAGGAATAGTCCATTTATAAGGAGTAACGGAAGTATCCAACACGGCTAAATCTGGTTCAACCTGTTGAAATTCAAGTTTTCCGCCATAAACAATTATGCGTCCATCGGAAGTTAAGCATGCCGAATGTAATTCTCGTGATCCAACAAAGTCACCAACGGCTTTGAACGTCGACCATTTTCCTTCCTTCGTATCATAAAGAATAATTTTATTCATGGAAACAGGTTTATATGTTAATAAACCTCCAAGAAATACGATCACACCATTAGGTAAAATTGTAGCCGTATATCTTTTATAAATTAAAAGGGTGTTTTTCGGAAAGATTGCATCAAACTTGGTTTTCATTGTATACCAATTATATGTTTCCATATTAAAGATATTAAAACCATCAATTCCATCAAATAAATAAATGTTCCCTTTATCATCAGGTCCAATGAATGGTTCTTCTATAAAGACATCGTATTTTGGACCCACGTTCGCATCAGAAGTCAAGTCATGACTCGTTATATTATATTTCAGCATATACGGTATCATTTGTAAAAAATCTTTGATTCCATAAATGACGATAAAATCCTTCCATCCTGCGCTTCTTGGATTAAATATACTATTTATTTCCAACTTGCTTAAAGGTTCGTATTCGAGCGTACTTTTATCTTTCGAGAGTGTTGATACATCAATGCTAAGAAATCTTTTTTCTAAAATTTCTCCTACTGCATATATCTTATTATCAATAAGTATCGGGGATGTAACAAGATATGATGCGTTCACGAATTTATTAAATAAGGAAAATAACAGATTCAAGGAAATCATTCGTAAAATCAAACGATAATCCATTTTTAATTGAAATGTTTAATTTTTTTTTTTTTTTAAAAAAAAAAAAAAAAAAGATGGCTTTTCGGAGCTGGTGTGTTGATTCATTTTTTCAAACTCATTTTATAATAACCATTTTACCTGCTAAATGGCATGTAGTGAGAACGTGTCGCTATCATGTTGATCAAAACAAAAAATATTATAAAGGATAAATATGTTTTTCTATAGACCAAGACGGAAATTATTTAGCAAAAGAGAATCGATAATTAATTTATTAGAATGATTCATTTTGAAGTTATTAAAACCTATTAATACAATTTTGTTTGTTTGTTTGGTATTTATTTACTTTTTCAAGTGAAACAAAATTCCTAAAAATTCCTTTATATATATATCTAAAATTTTCCTATCCCTTTCTACAAAAATAGTAATCGATTAGCTAAAATCAAGTTGTCTATCAAACCAAAATTGCGTAAGACTTACCGAGGATAGAATTCCAATAGCAGATCTAATAGCAACATCAACATAATTATTAACGTCTCCAACTATTCGTCCAAATGTAGCACTATCCTTCAGTCTTCGATCTAAAAACTGAAATGTTCCTATGAATTCCGGTGATGTATCTTGTACCATATACAATTCTACCATAAGAATAAATCATTTAACATCAATAAAAGATATAATTTGGGGAGGATTTTTACACGACAATGAGAATTTTACCTGTAGATGAATAAATAGCAGCAAGGATTCCTCGTTTAGAATACCAATTCATCTAAAGACGGTAAATGGTCTTTATTAAAAAATAAAGTACAGTATAATTAAATCAAGATGACAAAATAATTGCTTACGTCAACACTTTTATCCCCCGCCAGATACCACATATCGTCAACTAACCTCGCTAAATGTTCAACCGACATTAAAACATTATTTGGTTGTGCCATGATCGCAAGTGCCTTGTTATCGTAATATATATACATGAAAAAATCATGAGAAATGAATTTCTTTAATATAATTCAAAAGTGATTTCTAATTAGAATACCTCAGGCCATCTTTTTATGTATGGTTTTGTAAGATTTAGTCGAGTTACACACGCAAATCGTATCTTTTGATGAACCTTTAATCTAAAAAAATTCGTATGGTTTAAATTAATAGCATTCATCTTACTCCTTTGAGAATGTTAATTAACTTACCCATCCATCTTGTCGAAAATTTCATGTGTCATTTTTCTTCTACAATCATCCAAAAAATAGTCGATCAACTCCGCTCCACCTCTCGGAAATAATCCATGACTAACGTACGGGTATCCTAATGCTTTCGCTCCTTGTGCTAATGTATCAATCGTCCATCCATATTGATTCACAAATGGTAAAGAGGCTCCGAGAATATCTGATGGTACAGGATTAGGTGGTGTAGGCGGTGTAGGTGGCGGCGTACTTTAAATTAAAATTTGTCAAAATCACATTATTATCACCATCGAGCTAATGATGGAAGAACTTACCTAGTTTGAATTGGTGGTTGCTCATCAACGAATTTTGAACATTCACCTTTTAAATTTGCTGCGGAAGCAAAATTTTGATTATGCTGTTGTTTATTAAGAACGTTTCTCCAAGTCATTGATTGCATTATGCGTCTTTGATAAATACATCTTGTATTTCGCTTAAAAATAGACCGGGACATATTTGAAAAATTATTATTTCTAAAGGAGAATTTGCTGATCAAAAAAACCCTTTTTTTTAAATAATCCAGGGTTTGTGTTACCGCAGTTATTCGATCTTAACCAAAAAGGATATCGAAAATTACCTAAGCCATGTGATCTGACCTTGTGATCATCGGAAAATCGACGTATTACAAATATGGAAATGGAAAAAATGGGCGGGCATAAATTTATGATGACTGATTTATTTATTTATTTTTTTAAACAATAAAAAACATCAAAATCTGATATATCAACCTTTTTGTTAACATCAACGAAGTCTGTAAAAAAATGTCTCAGGTTGGAATATTTCTAATTATACTTGTATTAAGTTAAAGTTGATGATAATTTTAATAAATGATAATTTGTTACTTTCTAGACAAAAAAGACAAAGAAGTCTAGTAAGGCTTCTCCAGCCTCTCAAGAAATAACCACTTCAATGGCAATATCCGATTTATCAAAGTATTATCAATATAATTGCGACAAATTATTACGGCTTATGTGGGATAAAGATTATATAAGACAGAAATCAGCTCAAGGCAACAAAAAATATACTCCTAAAATGGATGATTCTACATTACGTGATGCGTTAAGGCATCGTGGAATGGAATTTGAATCCGAGATTAAACGGAAATTAAATGAACTGTATGAGGTCATCGATTGCCAGCATATGTCACCGGCTGATGCAAAAGATGTCTTGAGAAATGTTAAAGTCGGTCAAATGTTGTATCAAATGAAGTTTGACGTACCTAAAGGATTTTATGATGAAATGGGTATAAAAGACATTGTGAAATTAAAAGCTTTTATACCAGATTTCATTGAAGTTAAAGAAGAAGATGGCGAGAAAAAATTGATGGTTTACGATGCAAAAGCCTCAAAAAGTGCACGCGTTCCTCATCAGGTATGAAAATAAAAAAAAAATCTAACTCATCTCCCCACATTCTAATTATAACTTCATAAATTTATTTCAGTTTCAAGTGGCTTCGTATGCATATCTTCTTGAATTTGTGATTAAAAAGATTCGTGGTCTTTCTATTTCACGTACAGGTGGAATCTATCTTCCATCCACGCAAGGTCCCTTCCAATTACAAACATTTCGTATGGACTTTCTACTTCCAAAGATAGAAAGGTTCTTTCATGATGAATTGCCACGAATTATCACAGCACAAAAAGTACCTTGGCATTACAATGCAAGATGCACAACTTGCGAATTTGTAAATGTTTGTAGAAAAGACGCTGAAGGTTCTATTGCAATGATTCCTTATTTGTCACTTGAGAAAGCCGAAGACTTGAAAAATTTTATACAAGATTGGAAATCGGGAGAAGATGAAATGGATGCTACAAATGGTTCATCATCATCGAGTATACATGACGATGATGTTGATATTGAGGACTTGGCTGATTATTTTGACAATTTAAATATTGATGACAAAAAGTCCAAGGAAACTAAAAAAGTTGTAGATACACGAATTAAACAGATCGTTAAATATGATAGTAGATTAAATAGTTCACCATATTTGAAAGCCTTGGAAACCAAGCAGGCTCAGGTATGATAGCTTTTATGTTCAGGTAATCATAAATCATTTTTTCTTTTACTAATCCTTTTTCTTAAATATTACAAAGTTCATTGGGGTTGCATCGGCAAATTTTCCTCAAAAAACCGATCATAATCTGTTAATTTCAATGTCCACGGACCCTTTCTTATCGCGTCCCTTTGGATGGGGTTTATGCCTTTATACTAGTGATGGAAGAATTTTACAGAATTTCAGACGCGCCGAAGCAATTCCAAAGAATGATGAGTCTACTTTAACCTTTATAAGTCTGATGGATAAGTTCGTAACTATATTGGAAAAGTCTTTTGAATATCTATCGAGGGTTAAGTCAAGAGCCTGTGTCTTTGTTTATGCCGAACAAGAAAAGCGGACCATTCAAGATGCTTTGCTAGAGATCATATCTATGGACCCTGATACGATTTCAAGTGCTGTGCAACATACAGCTACAAGATGTTTGTTTAATTTATTTGAGGATTCATCGTTGTTATTAGGGTCTGGAAACATGGATGGTGGTGATGTCACAGAACTTCCAGATGAATGGCGAGAATTTCCTAGGTTGATCATTTTGGAACAAGCGATAAGGGAGAATGTTGCAATTCACGTGCCCGGGTTTTATCGCTTCGTTGATATTTGGCAACAACTGGTCAAGCCAAAATTACATGATCAGGAATTATTGGATTCCTTAGAACAACATATTGAGGATATTGATTTAGAAGATATTTATGCTTTATGGGTTGCGGCAAGAAGCCCGATATCACGAACAAATGAAGCCCAGTTATTAAGAGTTGATTTTGGATGTGCAGTAATAAAGGCTTATTATGAGCTGCTTAAGGAATCAACCGAAGATATTTCTTCTAAATTATTATTTACGCCACAAGTTTTTACCTTTACCGAAATCAAAGCTTTTAAGCATCATTATTTGGGAAAGATCCATTTTTTTAAACAATTTGAAGCTGTGACTGATTGTGCCAGGATCAGATCTGCTAGAATAAAAGACTTTCTGCAAGGTGAAGCCGTGTATGGAATTCGACTTCAATTTGAAAAATTTACTAAAAAGGATGGCCAAGAATGGATTGCAAAGTTTAATCTTTTAAGTCGTGGAAGAGAAGGCAACATCTTGGAATATAATGCGCTTAAGGAATTCATTCTTGTCGAGGATAATCCGGAGGTAATATATTGGCTTATACGCATTTATTGTGAAATTTCAATAATATTCATCGTCTTTTCAAAATAGGGAGTTTTGGATGCTATCCGATTTCCGGATATGAAATACCGAAACAAATTTTTTGGATATCCCTTGTCGGTCGTATGTCTTTATGATATTAACAATAGTGATCCCCAAAAACGAGAGATTTGGTTGAAAGGAGTCTTTAAAAAGAGGTTAACCGGCGATTCGAATAATGTATATCGTCTATATAAACGTTACCTCGATTTTAATCTTGATAAGGTGTTGTCGATGTTGACTGAAATTGATGAAAGGAACGACGATAAATCAGTATTTTTGGTTGGTATCTTATTCTTTAAATTAAAGTTTTTTTAAATGTTATGAAAAACAATTTCCTATGATTTATTTGCTTTCATTTATTGTCTTGATTAAATTGAATATAGGATCTCTTGAAAGATCCAAACGCGTGGGGTTCTCGTTCTCTAACCGAGGAAGTGGAGCAATTTAAGGAAATCAAAGCTACAGCTTTGAAGCTACGAGACGCCTTTTCGATGTCTCCGTCCCAAAAAGAGATCTCGGCAGAATTATTAGAGAAGAGACTTCAAATCGTGTGGGGGCCACCCGTAATTATCAGCATCCGTCTTTTGTATTTTTTTTTTCATTTTTCATTTTCAAAAAATTCTTAATAAACCTTCATTTATTAGGGTTCCGGAAAAACACATTTTCTGGCATTGTTTATCACTTGGTACTTGAGTACTGTTAAGCCTAAGCCAACCAGTGCCAACGCGAATTACATAATCGGCGTAACAGCTTTTACGAGGGCTGCTATCGATAACTTGTTGGACAGGATTTCAAGCGTACAAATACAACGCCATAAGACAGATGATTTTAAAATCATTCGCTTAGTCAAGGACCTGAAAAAGACACCCTTGAATAACGGTTTGGAAGAATGTAAAGCAGAAACCTTACCGAAAAAACTCGCAGGGAATAAGATTGGAATGATTGGAAAACCCGTCGTGATCGGCGGTACAGTTTGGGATTGGTATAAAGTAAGGAGGGAATCAGGATCCGGTTGGGCTGGATGTGATATTATGATAATTGATGAAGGTTCTCAGGCAAGTGAAAAAAATTTGCTGCATAAATTATCATTTAATCTCCGTGCATAATTTTATTTATTTTATTTACTAGTTATTGGTTTCAGATGCTAGCCTTGCAATTGAATGTTTGAACCCTAAATCTGGAAGATTGGTTGTTGCTGGGGATCATATGGTAAAATGCACGTGAAAACATTTTGTTGTCGAAATTTCTTTCTATCAACTTCTGATCGTTCTTAATTGATATATAGCAACTTGGTCCTATTATTCAAAACACTTATCCTGTATTTCCGCCCGATCACCCCCTTATATTTGGATCGGTTCAACAATGTTTGATGCGTAGGGAAGATGGTTCCGTTTTTCATGAGGAAGATTTCTTTTTGAAAAAGGGACAAAAGCATGATTTTGGGCCTCTTACAATTCAACTCAGAGATAATTGGAGAATGGTTCGTGTATACATATATTTTTATTAGACAGATTTATTATGCTCGATTCATTAATATTTTAATTCCTTTTTTGTTGCTCAGAATAAAGAATTGAATTGTTTCTTCCAAAAGATTTATGGCGATGACTATATTTCAAAACATCCAAATCAAAAACTCATTTTTGAAGACCCAAAATTATCGCATATCAAGGATCCGCTAATACAAAGAATTTTATCACCGGATTCAGCAATTACGTTAGTAAAGCTTTCCGTGGCTGGTAATATCAAAATAGGTTCTAGTCTCGTATCAAGTCAATTTTTGCAAAATGAAGCAGATGTTGTGGCAAAAATAGCCTCGGCATACTTCGAATCTGCAAAAGAATCGCGAGCGAAGACCAAAGCATCATTATTTATAGTCACCCCACATCATAGGCAACGATTTGCGATTCAATCACGCTTGGTTAGATATATGAATAATCAAGATATCAGTTTACAAATCAATACCGTAGAAAAGATGCAAGGGCAAGAAGCGGATATCGTCATATCATGTTTTGGATTCTTGGATTTAAATGAAATATCAAAAGAATCCGAATTCTTATTTGATAGAAATAGATGGAATGTAGCGATAAGTCGAGCAAGATGTAAAGCAATAGTGATCACTACCGATGAAATGCTTTACCCAAGAAGTATAGAAATCTTCGCCAACAAGAAAACGAGTGAAGGATGGGTATTCCTTAGCATGGTGGAAAAATGGGTAAAAGATAATAAAGGTGGAGGGAAGAGGAGGAGGAGAAAGGAGGGAGGTATTATCGAATGGGTGATTGATGGCGATGATGACGAGGATTTAGTTGATGATAGCGATACTACTAGTTCTACTAATAGCACCACTAATAGTCAAGGAAGCAAGGATGATGACGTTATAGTTATTGATTAGAAGTATCTTCATTTTTGATTTTCTGATCAGATTATCAACGATAAAAAATCCGAGCTATTTCTATAGGAGTTACCTAATGCAGGCGAAACTTTTACACGTCAATAATCGTCATAATAAATTTTGACAGGGAAAATAATGTTATAAGGTTAAGGCGTAGAGCGTTATCTAAGGATGCAGAAATGTTAATGTAATATATTTATTAAACTTTTGATATATAAAATATAAAATATAATTGGTTAGGGTTAATCTAAATGGACCTATAAAAAGACATTTTATTTTGATTCATTCATTCTGAAACTAGTAAAGGCTATTTATTATATAACAATACTAAATGATATTTAAGAGAAATTCAAAAATAGTTTAACGCATTTTTCAAAGATTTTCCAATGAGAAGTGAAAAGTTCATGGAAATGAACACGAGCAAAAGAGAAATGGGTAAAGATCAGATTCCTTGAATTTTTTATCATGTTTAGGAATGTATATGATATAAATTTGTATAATAAATGTATTATAAATACTTTATTCAATTGATTGGCTGAAATCATATCAGTTTCCATATTACAAAGTATTACCTTTTTTGTAAAGGTTTGATTTCCTAGTTGTAGTTCTTTACCGAATATAGATCGATTTGTTTAATATGAGTACTTTCTTTTGGCGGCAATAAGGTCATATGTTTACGCCAATTAGAAAATTTAAACTTGAAACCATGCCCATTTCGTTTGTCGTCGCACAGTATATGTTAGTTAAAAGGAATGTTGACCAAACTCCGCTCGTTCACTTAAAACAACCCTTTATACTCTCGATATACCGAAGTCATATTTTTTTTTTTTTTTAAAAAAAAAAAAATACACGCCTCATTTTTTCGCATTATCATAACAAAAATAACAAAAATAAAATCATTGATATACCGAATAACAAATATAAATATTAGTTAACGGACTTCGGTATATCGAGAGAGTTATTTACTATTTAGTTATTAGTTTGTGGAGTTTTTTTGTTAGGGTTGAAATATAAATATATATAGAAATATATATACTTTATAGTAGAGGTAAAGCAAATAAATATGAAACATTCATCAAAAAGTGTTCCGGTTCTACCAGCTTTTTCTACTCAATCACCAGATGCTTTTATTCAATCATTAGAAACAATAACTGCATATATCAAAGAATATTCGTTAAAAGCATCACAACCTCCACAAGCATTCCCTTTCGAATATAATCAATATTATTCCGATAATGATTCTGCCTTTGAATTCGATTCCGAAAATTATACTGATCACGATTCGGAATATGATTCCGATTATTGTTATGGGGAGTTAGCGACCCCTGAACAGGAAGTGCCACCACCACCATCATCAAAGAAGGAACTTGAAAGTATTGCCACAATTTGTGAGGAAGCGACATCAACGAAGCAAATCGTTAGAAAACCTGAGGCGCCTGTTAGAGAGGTGAGACATTAAATTTTTTTTTTTTTCTTTCCGATAATCACATTAACGTGTCAATGACGCGAAAATGCTAAATTCTTGCTATTTTTTTTTTTTTTTTTTTTTCTTCATAGCTCACTGAGGATCTTAAAAAGTTTTTTTACGATATTCCTTCATCAAGTGATAATACAGCAAATAATACAGCAAATTTGTTTGCGATCAATTCTCCTTTCAATAATATCGGCTTTTCTGGGACCTCCCTTTCAAACGATTTTATTTCTACTCAGACATTTGATAACTCTATTTACGTTTTCATTGATAATTCTAATATTCTAGCTGGATTCAAAGCAATTTGTCAAACTAAATTTGGAAAACGCAGGCAAAAGGGTAAAAAGATGCCCATGTTAGATTATATTGAACTTTTCAAAATTATAGAAAAGGGAAGGAATGTCAAACGCAAATTTTTAGCAGCTTCCAAACCATTGTTTCAACCACTTACACAAGCAGAACTAGCCGGTTACGAATGTGCAGCTTTACAACGCATTAATCAAAAAGAACAATGTGTCGACGAGCTTATCCAACTTCAAATCTGTAATACTTTGCTAGACGTCCAATCGCCATCTACTTTAGTCCTCGCTACTGGCGACGGAAATGATGCTGAATATAACGAAGGAGGCTTTTACAAATGTATAAAGAACGCTTTGGAACGTGGTTGGAATGTCGAAATCATTAGTTGGAGACGCCAATTGAATCAAAATTTTATTCAGCTCTCGAAAGAATGGGATACCTCCTGCCAAATCATCCGTTTGGATCCGTTTGCCTCAAAATTGGGATGTAGGATGTAATATGAAAGTTTATGACAATTATCTTTACTTTTGACAGAATGATGTGCTTATTTCTGTATACAACCTTTTATTTTCGATTCAAAGTTATATATATATAACTACTAATTGTTTACAGTATATTCACGTCTTTTCTTTTTCCTCTTTTTTTTTTCCTTTTTCTTTCCTTTTTCTTTCCTGTCTTTTACACATCATAAATATACTGTAAATCCCACTTCTTCTTTTTATTGAATTTATAAAATATGTATATAGGTATATATATTTTAAGTATCTTACAAACTACTTACCGATTGTAAAAATTCTCTCTTACCAACACTATATCATAAGTTTCATTTATATTCACTTTTTCCTTTTTTTTTCATTTCTTTTATCATCATTTAAATTTTGATTTCCCGTATCTTTTCTACAATATTTTTGGATCATCCTGATGGCTTTTTTTCGCAGGCGCTGCATCAAATGTCTCATTGTTCTTTAGACATATCCTAATTTGGTTTATTTAAAATTTTGGATTCTCCAAGTAGAATTAGAATCGTGTAAATTCATAAATTATTTTTTTTAATCATTCCTTTTCAATTGGATCAAATTCTATATATATATATAATACTCTTACATATATTTTCTTATAAATAAATAAAATTTTACACGTAATGTAAATTGAAATTTAAATGCGCCACGTTAGTTACATCGCCACATCAGCCGCAGATGTAACAATAAGCTAATCATTTATAATTTTATATTATTATATAAAGTAAAGAGAAAAAAATTCAACAAAATCAATAAAAGCATCCCATCAGATCTAATTCGCAATATCCATAAAAAACGAATTTAGATCGAATGTCCTTTATAATCTTAAAAGACATTGACTGCTTCTTTCTTAGCTCTGTTATTAATTGCTACTATCGTATTATTTTTTTTTTTGCTTTATCTATTATTAATTATTGTCATTCTTAAATCACAAAATAAAAAAATTAACCATGCTATTGCAATACAATGAATACAATTATTCACTTTTTATATAAAAATGCAAGATCTTTTTTTTCTTTTATAAATTAAAAAAAATTCCACAAATCATATATTTTCCGTCTATATATACATGAATTTTATAAATTCAAATATCATAAATACAAACTTCCTTTTCCTAATTAATAATGGATTTTATTTTCGCCTTCAACTTTTCCCAAATTTTTTAAAGGTTTAACTCTATAAAGTAAGTATTTTTATTTAATGAATTATATCTCGACCGAACAAAATTTATACAAAAATTATTGAAGATAACAATAAATGCGTAAATATAATCATTACCAAACTTATCAAAATAAAATAGTAAAAATAGAATAATATAAATAATTAAAAATAATAATTAAAAAAAAAAAAAAACGCATCGTACAAGTAAATCACATGAATTCAACTCTTCCATACACTCGAAATCCATGAATATTGTTGGATTTGATGAAGTCCTTTCAAGAACGAACTGGTTTTTATTTTTTCCGAAGTAAATTTAATATTGACGAAGCTATTACGTTTTAAGGATTTAAAATTACCCTGTACAACTTCATTTTCATTTTCTGCCGCTTTATTATACCAGTAATTGGCTTTTTCTAAATCCTTTTCTATTCCTTCGCCTTTTTCATATAAATAACCGAGCCAATATTGACCCGTATTATGTTCTTTTTCAGCTGTGATTTTATATAATCTAAATGCTTCTTCTTTGTTAATTTCAGTTCCTATTCCATTGTAATAGCAATATCCGAGTTGAAACTGTGCAACTACATATTCCTTTTCAGCTGAATGCCTATAATAATCAAAGGCTTTTATTTCATCCTTTTCGACACCTATTCCAAGTCCATAACAATTACCCAAATTACATTGTGCAATTTCATTTCCGTTTTCTGCTGCTTTATTATACCAGTAAATAGATTTTTCTAAATCCTTTTCTACTCCTTCGCCTTTTTCATATAAATAACCAAGATTAATTTGACTTTTGCTATGTTCCTTTTTAGCTGCTATACTGTATAATTTAAATGCTTCATCTTTGTTGATGTCAGTACCAATTCCATTCTCATAACAATATCCAAGTTCAAATTGCGCATCTACAAACTCCTTGTCGGCAGATTGTTTGTAATATTTAAAAGCTTTCATTTCATCTTTTTCGACTCCTATTCCAAATTTATAGCAATTACCTAAATTATATTGCGCGAATTCATTTTCATTTTCCGCGGCTTTATTATACCAGTAATTAGCCCTTTCTATATCCTTTTCGGTTCCTTCACCTTTTTCATATAAATAACTAAGCCAATTTTGACCCGTAGTATATCCTTTTTCAGCTGCTATCCGATACAATTTAAATGCTCCTTCCTTGTTGATTTCAGTACCAATTCCATTGTAATAACAATACCCGAGTTGAAATTGTGCAACAACATATTCTTTTTCAGACGATTGTTTATAATACTTAAAAGCCTTTATTTCATCTCTTTCAACACCTATTCCAAATTTATAACAATTACCCAAATTACATTGTGCGAATTCATTTCCATTTTCTGCTGCTTTTTTATACCAGTAAATAGATTTTTCTAAATCCTTTTCTGTCCCTTCGCCCTTTTCATACAAATAACCAAGCCAATTTTGACTTATATTATATTCTTTTTCAGCCGCAACTTTATACAATTCAAATGCCTTCGCTTTATTAATTCGAGTTCCAATTCCGTTAAAGTAGAAATATCCAAGTTGAAATTGGGCAACCACATATTCCTTTTTAGCTGATTGTCTGTAACATTTAAGAGCTTTTATTTCATCTTTCTTAACACCGATTCCATACCTATAACAATTACCTAAACTACATTGTGCAATCGCATTTCCATTTTTTGCTGCCTTATTATACCAGTAAACTACTTTTTCTAAATTCTTTTCGATCCCTTCACCTTTTTCATATAAATAACCAAGGTTAAATTGACTTTTATCATGCTCCTTTTCAGCTGCAATCAGATACAATTTAAATGCTTCTTCCTTGTTTATTTCAGTTCCAATCCCATTATAATGACAATATCCAAGCTCGAATTGTGCATCCGCATATCCCTTATTTGCTGATTGTTCATAATATTCAAAAGCTTTGATCTCATCTTTTTCAACCCCTATTCCAAATTTATAACAACCACCCAAATTACACTGTGCGAATTCATTCCCATTTTCTGCTGCTTTATTATACCAGTAAATAGCCTTTTCCAAGTTTTGTTCTATTCCTTCACCTTTTTCATATAAATTACCAAGGTTGATTTGACTTTTACTATGTTCTTTTTTAGCCGCTATTTTGTATAATTCAAATGCTTTTGCCTTATTCATCTCAATTCCAATTCCATGCTCATAACAATTTCCAAGTTTAAATTGCGCATTTACATTTTCCTTTTCGGCAGATTGCTTATAATAATTAAAAGCTTTTATTTCATCTTTTTCGACGCCTATGCCAAGCTTATAGCAATTACCTAAATTATATAACGCAAATTCATTCCCATTTTCTGCTGCTTTATTATACCAATAGATGGCCTTTTCTAGATTTTGTTTTGTTCCTTCACCTTTTTCGTACAAATAACCAAGCCAATTTTGACCGATGCCATAAGCTTTTTCGGCTGCAATTCTATATAATTTAAACGCTTCCACTTTATTAACTTCAGTTCCTATCCCATTAAAATAACAATGACCAAGCTCAAATTGTGCATCTGTGTAGTCTTTTTCGGCAGATTTCTTATAATATATAAAAGCTTTTATCTCATCTTTTTCAACCCCTATTCCGAATTTGTAACAATTACCCAAATTACGCTGAGCGATCTTATTTCCATTATCCGCCGCCTTATTATACCAGTAAATGGCCTTCACTAAATCCTTTGCCGTTCCTTCACCATTTTCATATAAATAACCAAGCCAGTTTTGACTTGCATCATATTCTTGTTCGGCCGCCATTTGATATAATTTAAACGCCTTTTCTTTATTGATTTCGGTTCCAATTCCTTTAAAATAACAATAACCGAGTTGAAATATCGCAACCACGCATTCTTTTTCGGCCGATCGTTTATAATATTTGAATGCCTTTATTTCGTTCTTTTTGGTGCCTATCCCCAAGATATAACAATTACCTAAATTACATTGCGCAAACTCATTTCCATTTTTTGCCGCTTTCTTATACCAGTAGATGGCCTTTTCTAGATCCTTTACGGTGCCTTCACCCTTTTCATATAGATAACCAAGATTATTTTGACCCATATTATATTCTTTCTCTGCTGCTATCTTATATAAAGTAAACGCTTCCGCTTTATTTACTTCAGTTCCAATCCCATTCTCATAACAATATCCAAGTTCAAATTGTGCATCGACAAACTCATTTTCGGCAGATAATTTATAATATTCAAAGGCTTTGGTTTCATTTTTTTCAATACCTATTCCTAACCTATAACAATGACCAAGATTATATTGTGCGATTTCATTTTTATTCTCTGCCGCTTTATTATACCAATAAATGGATTTGTTTAAATCCTTCTTGACACCTTCACCGTTATCATATAAGCAACCCAAAAAAACCTGAGCGTTATCATAACCTTGTTCGGCTAACTCTTCACATATTTTAAAGGCGGCTTCTTTATTAACGTTAGTTCCGATTTCAAAATAATAACAAATCCCAAGCTTAAATTTCCCATTGATGCTTCCCTTTTCGGATGATTTTATGTATATTTCAAAAGCCTTAGTTTCATTCTTTTCCACCCCTTTTCCAAATTCATGACATAAGCCCAAATTATATAATCCGCTCAAATTTCCGTTATCGGCCGATTTTTGATACCAATAAAAAGCCTCATTCAAATCCTTTTTGATTCCTACGCCGTTTTCATAAAACATACCAAGGTTAAGCTGTCCGCAAATATTTCCATTCTCTACAGCCATTTGCATCCACTCAAACGCTAATTCATTGCAAATTTCAATTCCAAGTCCTTCTTTATAGCATATACTTAAATATACCTGCGCGATGGGATAATTATCTTCTGAAGCTCTCGAAAACAATTGAAATGCTTTATCATCATTTTTCTCAAAATTGATACTATTAAAATAAAAAAATCCCAGGAGGAAGACATATTTCGTTTCCGTTTGATGTCCCAGCCACTCAAAAATACTACTTGAACTTTGATTGGAAAGGTAAATACATTGATTAATAAAATACATTGTCTCATTAAAATTGTTTCCTTCATCTTGCGTTTTAATCAAGAGTCCGATCAACTTATCAATTAGAACGTTCATATCATCATCTGACGCGTCAAATGTTTCGGAAAATAATTGATCGGCTTGACTCAAGATGTGAGAATTACATTCATTGTTTAAATTGTAATCTTGCATCAATCTACTTATAAATAACTCTGAATTATTGCTATGCATTGAAATTGATTGAGGACGTAATACCATTTTATTTTCGGATTGAACGATAGATTCAATTTCTTCATTATTATTTTCCTTGTAAATTATTGATTTAAGTGATTTAACAACTTCTTGCATGGTAGGACGTTCACTTGGATCGTCATCCCAACATGCTAATAAATGAAGAACCATTAGCTTAACAAAAAACAATTACATATAAACAACGACGTATCTAACATTTACCTCTATATAAGTCACTATATTTAACAGGAGTATCCTTGACAATAGTTTCTCGTCGGCCCTTTTTAATATCCATAATTAAATTTATATCATATTCTTCATTTTTGACGTAAAAAGGTCTATGTCCACTTGAAATCTGCCAAAAAAGAACTCCAATGCTATATACATCAGACTTTGGATTTAACACATAATGCTGATTTTCATTTTTAATGTTATTCAAATATTTCGGATCGATGTAGGGAACAACACCAAGCACATCCGTCGAATTATTTGGTACATCAGTCGATTTTCGTGATAAACCAAAATCCGCTAGTTTCACTGCATTCTTATGCACCAGCACGTTTTGCGCATGCTATATAGGGGAATAAACTATTAATTAAAGCAATAAATTTTTTTTAAAAAAAAAAAAAAATTTCAAATAAATGGTTATGGTACCAAATCGCAATGAATGATCCCTTCGTCATGCATACATGCAACAGCACTCGCAATTTGAAAGGCCAATTTATATTTATCACACCATTCCAGTTTATCAAAATTTTCTTTCAAATAAGATTGTATTGACCCTCCATCCGCATACTCCATGACCAACAGATACTTGTTCGTTTGGTTGACCGAATTGATTTCTAGTTTTGATATGCCATAGAATTTTATGATATTTCCGTGATAATCGACTTCTCGTTGCATTTTTACCTATTATAGTACAAACATTTCAACAGGTTAATTGACAATTCGTAAATTGGAAAAGTACGCATTTCGTAATATGGATCGTTTTCTATTGTTAAAATCAGGTTACGAGACATATAAAACAGTGTTGGGTAATTGGACAATTTTGAACAATTTTGATATTTAAAATCAAAAAAAAAAAAAATACCAAAACCCATCACTGATATAAAATAATATGATCCATACATGATTTTCATAGCAAACCTCTCATATTCGTAATCATATTTACTTCATTGACGATTTCCTTAATAGTTAGGTTATACGAATACTTTACAGCCATAACGGTATCGGAATCCTTCCAATTCACGCGAGCAACGTTCCCAAAGGATCCGCTGCTTATTTCTTCCCTATTTGTGAATCCGGAATAATCATAATATTTGATATAATTTTCCGATACCGCCCTTTCTAACCATCTATGATAAACGTCGTCGTCATCAATCGCAGTTGACATATTTTATTTTTTTTTTATTTATTTTTTTTTTTTTGAAAAAAAAAAAACGATTCTTTTGTTGAAAATAAATTCGAGGAATCGTTTATTTAATTAATTTAACAATGGATTGTGTAATATTGCTTGCATAAATTTTGCGTAAAAACTTTGAATAATTTCAATTGAAAATCTTGCTATAATAAGGTCGATAATGGCATTCACAAATGAGCTTCACGGTGAATTGAATTTTTATATCGGAATTTATCCGAACCACTTTGGATCCCCATACGTACCGGGAAATTGTGGACAGTTTTGGACGTATCTGTTAAACCAATCAATTTTCTTAAAAACTTTTTTTTTTTAAAAAATAAAAAATAACAAAGAAATAGATGAGGGAATTTTTTTAACGAATTCGCCAGGTTATAATAAAAATTGGAATATTAGTCAAAATACCTGAGAAATTTTTGACTTAAATTTACATTAACATCAAATGCAAATAAATATCTCAATTTGTTAAAAAATTCCCAAAAACCTGATTTTCCTTAGCAATTATGGATTGGACGATTCGAGTCCAAATATTGTTTATACTTATTCTATAGATTTTCAAGGAGCTATATAAAAAATTTTATAAAATTTCATTAATTAATCGAATTGAAAGATAAGTTTACAAAAAAAAAAAAAAAAAAAAATGAGATTCTTCGTAGTGAAACGCTGATCAACTTGGCTATAAAATCAACAAAATATGTTTCATTTATTGTGGAGCTTTAATTTTATATTGCTAAGTCGTGCTCTATAAATAGAAGCGTAAACGATGTTAAATGTTAAATTTTCTCTTCTTATATAGAATAACAATTAAATTTACGTAAAAGCAGTGTTCAATAAAAATTTCAATTTTATTTGTATCACAATAAAATTGCTATTTATTATTATTATAATTTATTATTAATTTTTTTTTTTACGAAAGGAAAATGAGAATATTTAAATTTAACCTACAGTCAATTTTTAATTTTTTTTTTTTAAAAAAAAATTATTGTAATGCTTACAAATAATATTGCATAATTTAAACTTTTACAAATCAAAAAGTTTGATGACGAGTAGACTTTCACTTCAAGTTTATATATATAATTTGGATTTTAATACAAATTTAGGGTTCACACTTTTATACCGGGGGGTACAAAAGTATTGCACGCTTTTATTTTTTCAATAATTTTTTATTTTTTACAGAAACATACAATTTTTTTTTTATTTTT